TTTTTCTCTTCCTACATATCAACTGCAAAGTGCAAGTAGATTTTAAAAATCTCCACAGATGACATTCAAAAATTGAAGAAGACAAAATGTGGACAGGGTGAGCAGGAGTCAAGTGTCTCTAACAAAAGGTTTAAGGAAACATGATCCGTTTGTGTCACTGCTAATAGATAATAATGCATGCTTTTAAATATTCAATGGTTATTGTATCCCATTCTTTTTAGTTGGAAACTGGAATAGTTTACATATAACTACAGTAATAAAACTATCCGTTTCCAAAACCAAAAAAGAAGAAAAATAGTCTTACCTCATGCAATTTCTGCTTTCTTATTGGTTTTGGCAGTGCTTTCTTTCCTCAAAGCCTCAAAGGAGAGAAAATAGGAAACATGATGTTATCTGTTTTACGTCTGTCATGTATTTTCACTTGTGTCCTCTTTGACAATGAGAGGATGGGTTCCCCCTTTGAAGGACACTTTCTCAAGCTTTTTTCCCCAATCCCTTTCAGTTTGTAGATGACAAGTGGTTCGTCTCAAGTAGGACACTACCGATCTCTACATTCACCTATGTAATTTTGACTAGATTCAAAAATCAAACCCATACCAATAAGATTCGCTATATATGACTAAGCAAAAAAAGGTGAGAGTCTAGTGCAAGCTTTATTGAAAACGCTTATCGAATGAGCAATTTTCCTAAAGCAAGAAACAAGCGACTAAGCTGCACAAAAGCTGCTGATTCTAACAACGTATTTAGTTTCTTGCTCGTTAGTGCTATATAAATCACTACAAAACCATCCATGTTCTTGCTACATCGTGTCCTGTACTTTCACAGGAACTGAGTATGTTGGATAGGAACTTGTTTGGATCCACAGTATAGAGGTAAAAGATAGACAGGGTACCTTAATGACAATAAGAAAAGAAAATGGAAGTTCTCGTGTTGAACCAAATACTTAAGAAAGAGAGCCAAAAACTATAGGTTTCGAATGACACAACTGACTCAGTACTTTCTTACTCTAATAATAAAAGAACCGACTGTAGATGTCGACAGACTTCTATTTCCAATAGCTTCCTCCACAACTCCACCCTCCAAAAGAGTAACCACAAGTCTTTACGGTTTCTAGAGTTAGTTCTTGGGAAAATGGTAACTTGACATACAACAAAAAAATCTTGAGCATGAGAAAATGAGATTGAACCAAAAAGCTGAACAAGTTGAGCTGACCTTCAAGAATGATTAAACTTCATGTTTTGGGGAAGGATTTACATGGCTCTGGTCTAGTGGTATAGGTGTAACAGATGATGTGTGGTTAGGCACACTTCACGGGTACGAATCCTGCCACACATAAAACTCTGATATTTAACAGGAAAAGGGTAGAGGGGCAGGCCCATTATCAACAAAGATTCGAACAGTGCCCAGATTTCTAAAAGTTCTGGGTACGGATTTGTTTTCAATATTTTGGTAGCCCAAGAAACCTCATTTCCATTAATAATAGCCTTTGATGGGATAAGTGAAAACTACATTTTACCAATACATCAGGTAGGCATGTTGTTCATGCAAATGTCATATTCATGTCCAAGTCCCTGCTACCTAGTTGGAGATGGAAGCTAAGTGTTATCTCAATAGAGGACAGATAAAATTTTATGCAGAATATTTGAAACCTCATTTCATCTTCTTCTATTGTGATAATAAAGATATACACCTTGAGTCTAACTCAACCCCAAAACTAGCTTATAGAGTGAGATTATCCAAGACCATATAAAGATGCCAATGTTCCTCATACCCACCTATGTGGGACTCAACACCCCTTGCAGACTGAACATATAGAGCGTGGACAATGTAAGATGGGAGCCCAACATCAGGTAAACAATAAACTGCGATGGACCTGGCTGTGATACCATAAGATATGGATCTTGAACCTAACTCAACTCCAGAAATTACCTCATGAGGTGAGGATTGTATAAGACCATATAAAGAGACCAATTTTTCTCATACCCACCGATGTGGAACTCAACAGATTGTATTTGGTTCCTAGTAGGCTATTTCAATGGTTCAACAACAGCTTTTTGGATATTAGATTAAAGGAAAAAAAGACGCGGAGGATGTTTTGAAGTAAATGCTATAATGGGACTTTTTCTTCTTTTTCCCTAGTTAGCTATTGTGAGACTTGTTCGTAGTTATCTGGGTTTTGCCAGTCTTTCGTGAGGTAACATGTTTCATTATAGTATAACATTTTTGCAAGGCTTAAGGCAGGCACTTCTTTTAGTCAATTTCCAAGCTAGATAAAGGAGAAGAACGGCGGTGGGTTGATAGCTAAAAATAGCCAAACTATAACTATGCCGGTCTAACTAGAGCAAACGGTACATGAGATACATACCAAACTCGCCCCCCGGCCCCCCTCCCAGACAGTGAAATTCATGCGTACAATTAGAGGAAAGAAAATACAGAAGATTATGAAAAGGAAGTATAAAGAACCACAACAGGGTTTGTTTCATACTCTCAGGCCATCAAGAAACTCTGACAAGAAGCTTCCTGATCCATGAATTTTCTCATCAATTTCTCCAAAAATCCTTTCACACATAAAAAGTAGAACTTTTCCCTTTATCCACCTAAAAATCAAGAGGTTCACATTTATACAAGGTAAGACATTAGACAGAGTCATATGCTATAGCAACCTATACCATCTTGACTGGGAAATTGCATACAGTTGGTATTATCGAGAAAGATGTAGTATAATCATGTAGAAAGTAGTAGATAGCGTAATCCGTGGCTTTCCCTATATCTCTAAGATGCAATATACAAAGTTACTAATAAAACTTCCTTCTTTTCGTTTCCAAGCTACATCATTTGGCTCATGGGTATTTCATATCGTCAAGAATTTCACATTGTAATCGCTATTAAGCATCCATTGTGATATTTTAACAAATAATTTAGACCTTAAAGTCCAGTAATAGAACATGGATTTCTGCATTTCTTCTAAATATCCAGTAAACAATTTTACTAATTACAACATAGCTCCTTCAAGACAGGTTAATAAGATATTGTAGGCCACGATTAGACTTCCAAGAATCTGTAAGAGCAGGACGATTTCTCATATCTAAAGGCAAATTAACTTGGAAAATGCAGAGTTGATGAAAAACAAGCACGATTAATGAACTTACATTTCCAGATTCCCCACAGGTTTAGCAATTAGTAATCAAAATAGAAGGTCAACTGTATTGGACAAGTACATAGCGATAATGAGAGAAAGACACCACATTTAGGGATCAAGGCGTAGGATAAAGTAAGAAACACTTAAAGACAGGCAAATATTATGAAAGCTAGCACTAGAACTTCCAGAATATTTATCTACTATTGCAGTTCTTAGAAGCAAAATTTCTTTACTCAATACTAAAAGATAACACTACATTTAGGGATTAAGGCGTAGGATAAAGTAAGAAACACTTAAAGACAGGCAAATATTATGAAAGCTAGCACTAGAACTTCCAGAATATTTATCTACTATTGCAGTTCTTAGAAGCAAAATTTCTTTACTCAAAACTAAAAGATACACAAGTAGAGAAATAGGAAAAGGTAGAAACTTTTGTTCTGACCTCTTCTTTTTCCAGGTAGGTAGCGTTTTTCCTTTACCAGAAACAATATCACCAGTTTCAAGCAAGAATGACTGCTTCCATCTCCATTACCCTGTGCAAAAGAAAGGATCTCCATTTTGCAATTGCAATTCCATTGTCAAACACGTTATCATTTTCATTCTTCTTTCTGCTCCCTACTCTCCCCCCCCCCCACCCCC